TCGTTGCCAAGGGACGAAAACCCAATCCCGATGGCATACACGGAGTGGGGGGCTTGTTTTACAACGTCGTTGCCAAGCGACGAAAACCCAAACCCGGATGGCAAACACCGGGGAAGTGGGGGGGGGGGGGGTATTGACGCGGAGGTGGATGTCGGTAGGGGTGGACGGAACGCACTGCCCCCGCATCCGTACAAGTCTGGGATAAGGTGGCGGGTTGTGGGATTGAGGGACCCGGTAGGTGTTACGTCTACCGTCTCGAGCCGTGAGGTACTTGGCGGAGCCCATCACGAGAGTGTGGGTTAGGGTGTGAGGGCTCGGACTGGATGTCGCGGCATCTCTCTAGCCACGCCGGACTGTGGAGGCGTGCGGTCGTCCACAGCTCTGCTCTACTGGAGTGTGAACCCATGTACCTCAGTGTCCGAAGCAAAGAGCGACGTTTGGTCCAGGAAGCACGGCAAGCGGGTGGGCGTAGGCAGTCGGTGGAGGTCTTTTGGGTGGATTGAGGGCGAGGCGTACCAGTCGGGTTTAGTTCCACGGTTTCGCTGCTGTTCACGTTTGGGGAACTACTGTCGGTTTCAAAAAAGAAGCACACGTCAATTGTGCTTTCTCACAACAGTGGACCGCAATGTACAGCCATGCTGCTCATTGCCGACAATCTGTCTAGCGGCAAGAATAATCCAGCCGACCCTCCTGACGCCCCCGGCCGACTCGACCCCCATGACATAGCACCGGCCAGATTCTGTTCTTGGTCGATGTATCTGAGATAACCTGATATTTCCCTCCCTGAAAGGCTTTCGGTTACAAAGCTTGGTCGTACCCGAAAACCCGCGAACAAAGCCGACCGAGGGCGTACACACACGTGTCGCCAAAACCACCAATAAAGCGGAACCATCATCGACGCTTGCGACCGCTGCCGTCCGTACAAGGGCTATTGAGTAATTGGTTAGCTCTGTTATTATTTTCAGTTCTGTCGCTCGCCCGTTCTCGACGCTACTCTTAAACCCACGCACCTTCGGTGGTTCCCGGCCCTGGGGATGACTCCCTTCCCCCGTTCCATCAAAAGCCGGCGTATGTCCAGGCTCATGAGGCAAGAAAACAATGCTTCTTCCACCTTGCTGACGTCATCGCCGCCGCCGCCGCCGCCGCCGCTGCGGAAATCGGCGTTCTCCTGACGAGCGCCGTTCCTATCGAACCCGCGGGGTGATGGCCCATTGGACGGTAGGTGTTCCGTCACGACCAACGTCCCATCCGACCCCGGGCTCTCCATCGGGACGAGCTCGGGGGCATTGGCAGGCTCGTGCCACTAGGAGGTAGGGTGTACGGTGGGACGGGAGTGTGCGGCGGAGAGAGGTGGGTGGCGGGGTGTAGCGGTGGCACCAACAGTCACAGTTAACCAACTGCCGTAGTAGCTGGCCCACAGCAGCGGAAACCTTTGGTCTACGGGCGGCGTGTTCTGTCGACCACGGTACGGAGGGGGTTTCCGCAGCGGACAGGAACTGTCTAATAGCTCTCGAACGTTTCGCGACAACAACACACGGTGTACACATCGTGGAGTCGTTGACAGACAAGGCTGCGCCCCCCGCTCTCCGTGTACGCCTCTTTTGAAAAGAGAAACGGTATCTGAAGGCAGAAGCTACCCGAGCTGAGGAGTCCATTGAAATGATGGAATTTTGAGCCGGGCGGACACCTCCCAAGCTGATGACAGCTCGTTGAAATCCGCCCAATTCGTTGGCGACGTGTTACTCTGAGTGGTGGATGAGACCACCTTCCCTGCAGCTTTTGGGTGGGTGGAGAAGTTCGGATTTCAGGTTTTTGCACTGCATTCAGGCCGTGCTTTCATTTCGAAAGGCCGGACGAACACAGACTTTGCGCTGAGCAGGGGAAAACGTGGAACTCCGACAACCCGCCCGGCATCACGAAGGCATCGATGGATGCGGGCGACGTATACCGTATTCTCAGGGACCAGCGAGCAGAATACCAAGAAATACGAAACGCCTAAATTTTTCCAAGGGCAGAGAACCGTCCATTCCTCTGTGCGGCGAGACGTCTCACACCGCGTTGGAGATGTTTTCTCGCAACTACCTAAAAATTTTGGACCTAGACGGTTTGTATGACATTGCATGCCCTGCTTGGGCGCTCTCGACCAGCGTGTAGACGCACCTTGCAGCGTACCACACACATTCATGTCAGGGCCGGCGCATTACCCTCCCCCACCATCCCACAAAACTGCTCCTCCGCTCAGCACCGGGTAAGCCCTCCTCGCCGCTAACTCACCTGGATCCGCAGTCGAGCCCTCTGGGACTCCCAATGCCTGAACGCCGGCAACACCGCCAGGTGGCCCTGGGCAGAGTCTTGGTCTTGTTCGATAGCCTCCCCCACTCGGTCGTCGTAGCTTCCATCCATCGCCGGGGGCGCTGTTCCTCCGCCGTCTGCCGTTCCTGCCTCCGGTGGGAGCGCTGTCATGCGAGACAGCGGAATCATCTGCAGAAAAGGCCCGTGACGACCCTGCTGAAGGGGCCCGTCATGATAAATCTCCCGCTGGGCCTGGGTAAACCTTTCTTGCGGGATGAGCCCGGATGACCCGTCCGGGATGCCGATAGGGACGACTCCGCCGGGTTGGCGGTGACCAGCGAAAACGGCGGGGGAGTCTCCGTGCTGCTGTTGTGCGTGGGCTCCGGCACCGTCTCCGACCGACAATCCGCGCAGCGCATGCTGCTGGACGGCCATGGTCCACTCCTGGGACCACCTCTCCTGTCTTGCTAGCTCTTCTTCCGTTCCGGTCAAACCGGAGATGCCACCTTCCGCTGCGGCCGTCGCTTCGTGGTGGTTCTGATCGGGGGCACCGTAGCCTCCCGGGGACATGGAAAACGCTGTGGCTACTGCGCTCAGCCTGCTAGACGAGGACAACGGAACGGGTACCGGCGGCCGTTCACCTTGCGCCGCCACTGCCGTGTTGGTTGCCGCCCGTTGTGCCGCGGTGGCGGCGGCAGCAGCAACGGCAGACGTGGGGAGTGTCGGGGCTTCATAGCCAGCAGGCATCGAGAAAGGTCGGGGCGTGTAGGTAGGGTTGGGCAAGGTCCGAGTCCGGCCGGCGATTCCACTGGGCGGCGCAGTATTCCCCCCAGGAAGTTCAAACACTGTAGCGTGATGGAACGGGCTTGTTGCTAGCCTTGCGGCTGCGTTGGTACCGACGGGAGGTTGGTAGGGTAAGTGGGCATCAGCGGCGGCGCGAAGCATTTGTCGCCTTCCTGGAGGCACGTAACGGGCGGTCCCGCCAATGTGAGGGCCGCTGGTGGCGCTCCTGCCGTCGTAGCTACCGCTCGTGGGGTAGCCTTGAGGGGGAATTGCAGCCATTCCTCTTGCTGTCGCCGCCACGGGATGCGAATGAGCGCCCGTGGGTGACTGCGGTGCGGTCTGCGGCCTTGGAGGAAACTGGTCCGGATCTCTGCTCTGCTTTCTCAAGGGTGGGACGCCAACGAAAAATCGGAGGGAAATGGGGCGTGGGGTTGGAAAAAGTTGTTTGTATAATCTTGGCCACAGCAGTGTCCTGCGGTAACACATGGTTCGAGCTGGAAACTACGCTGGAGACGAAAAACTTCCTAACCCAAAGACTCGGTAGGGGTGCGGGAATAGCTGCTTCAGGTGTATGTTTATTCCTGTGGTTTCTACAACTGTAATGTTTGTATGGACATCCGAATGGAAGCTCATTACCTTACCCTTTTTTTTCATTGGTGGGACCATGGCCGGGTCATGAATGTTACCCGTGCCTTAATGCGTTAGATTGACTACGGAGAAATCATTTTTTTTTTCTTGTACGGTACGGAAGAGGAAGCGCCATACAGATAAAAATAATGTTGTGTAATATGACGATGACAACGAGAAGGAACTCATCGTCATAAAACATTTTCCTCAGGGAAAGCTCTACAATAGACCAAATGGCAACACTTGTTGCTACCTACCCATCCATCCATCCATCCCAACCCACCCACCTCCACCCTTTGCCTCCGAACCATCTCTTCGACCTCCCTCAAGAAGTCTGAGAGTGACCTACGACCCCGGTGCATCTGCGAGGCCATCACTTCGTCACGCAGCGAGCTGTTGACTTGGTCACCATCGGGACGTTCGCCAGTTTCACGCTGTCGCTCCCCGGCAAACAACGCTCCACGTCCCCCAGAAGGCCAACCTGGTGGGTTTCTGCTTTGAAAAGCTTCCGCGTGGGCCCGACGCATGCCGGCGGGCCGTTGCCCAGGCGCGTCGAACCGGCTGTTGCCGCCATCGCCGCCGTTACCACCGTGGCTACTGCGGTCGTGGGCTGCAGCAGCATCCATCGGCGAAAGCGGTTCCTGGGTTCCGCCGCCGCTCCAACCATCGCCACCACCGGCGCCGCCACTGTCAAGGCCGCCATCAGACCTTCTAGCTTCCGTCGAACTTTGAGGGCGCCCGCCGCGGGAAGCCGAGCGAAGTTGAACTCGGCGTCGCCCTACGCCCCCACCACCTCCGCCACGGCTGCTGTTGCCGTTCTGTTGACGGGGCCAAGGGTGCCCCTCGCTGTCGAACGTGGCGTCAACTTGCCCGAGAGTAGGCGGCCCTGTCCTCGCGCGCCATGCCGAGGTGTTGTCGGAGTGTGCTGACACTGCTATCCCCGTCGCTGGTTCTGTAGCATTGGAATCGTCAGGGGTAACTCGCGCCGAGGGGACCCTCGTGGCAGCAGGTCTAGCATGGTAGGCAGTCGCGGTGGCCCGTAGCGGAGATGATGATGCAGGCCGGGCATTCGCGGCGTTGCTAGGTGTACTTCCGCGATCGGACATGTGCTGCATAGGAGACGGCTCGGGATATAAAGCCGCCGTTGATGGCGGTGCAGGGGCGTGCTCGGCAGATCTACCGATGTACCTGGACGTCATAAGAAATCAACATGTGGAGCGAACAAAGTTTGAACGCAGGTAAGTACTTTGTACTCAAGAGAGTACTCGTATAACTTAATAACAAAGAGTCATTCATGTGATGCTCCGACACCACATTTACATCAGCAGTGAGCTACTAATACAACTTGAGGCTGACCTGGACATGTACTCTTGAAGGGAAGTAGGGACCGAGAATACCAGAGGGCTGTCCGGCGTCTCGTCTCCGCCGTGGTGGCGCCGAAGGCTGTCGTCCATCTCGTTCTTCGCTGTAATTCCAGACGCGTCAGCTATACGTAGGTTACTTGCAGATTCAAAATCCCAACGTTCCACGAACCGAGTTGGGCTCCCTGCACCGAGCCCCCTTTCCAATCGAGCTACTGGTAGAGGGTCAGCTCTACCTCTTGTGTGCGTCTACACGTCCAGTCCACACAGGAATGGAGCGTGAGGGGAAGACGAGCTTTTCAGAACTGAAAGTCTATCGTAGGCGGCGGAACCACAACAGCAGTACATGCCAACCGGCATTTTTCCCGCCGACGGGCCGCAACACATGGGCCACTTTCTGCCCCCCCCGCAACGATACACACAGCCTACGCTACCATCGAGCGAAGCCCCACCCTCTCGTAGAGATGGAAGAAGATCTAGGTGCTTCTTTTGCTGCTTCTTCCACGGCCCATGTTGGTGTTGGTGGTGATGCAGAATCAATTCTGAATACCGTCGGGCGAATTGAAGAACCGTCTCTTGGGCAGCAAGTGGCAGCCTTGCGCGAATTGAAGAACTCGCTGGTGGGGGATGACGAAGCAAAACGCACGGCGCTGAATCTCCTTGTCGTGGAAGACGTTCTGACGTTCCTCGACGCCGTTGCAGCGAGGGGAATCAACGACTGCCATCTTCAGTCGGCCTTACTGCACGGTGTCGGGCTGTTCGCGATTTTGAGCTCCCCGCCTGTTGTTCCAGGCCTTCAGGCCCACCTCGCCCCCAATGGTTCGCGAATCGTCCAACACGTCGTGCGAGCCCTGGAATGGGGTAAATTATCATGTCCTTCTTCTTCCTCAGTCAAGAGCAGCAGCAGGGGCAGCAGCGCCGGCGCCGAGAGGCTGACGGCCATTTCTCTACGGGCGCTGTGCGCATGCGTTGCTCCCCTCACAACAATCACCTGTTCCTCCTGCTCCCCCGGTGAGGTGGGGGTTGGTGCTGCTTCTGCTGCTTCTGCTGCCTCTGCTGCAAAGAAGGAAAAACTGAAGTTGGTGACAGCGCTAGTGAAAGCCTCCGGCCTAATACTGGACAGTATTGTTGCTGCCAATTCTCCAACACCAACAACTTCAAAAACAACGTCCAGACGTCGAGGAACATGTCCATCGTCTTGGCGTTGGTCGCCGAATCTAAAGTCTCTCGGAGTGGAAGCGCTGGCCGCTATGACGAGAGTCGAGGAGCTGGCAAGAAGTCTCGTGCCCGGGGCAGTGTCGACAGGGGTCGCCCTTCTCATGCCAATTCTCGCGCGGTGAGTCGGACAGGGTATCGACACGTGGGCTCTCCACACCAAGCTACATGTAGATTATTCCTGAACAAAAAGAAGTAGGAAATATTTCAAGACGTTGGGCGACACGTGGAGAACGAAACAGCTTGTGCCGCGATTGTTTTCTGTCACAGGATCGCGAAAGGGAAAACGTTTTTTCATGCCAGACTATATGCTAAATTCGACTCTCAGCGTGCTACATGATATTTCCCAGTTTGCCGTGGCACACTGTACGTGCGGCGTTCAGGAGGCGGTTGATGGAAGGGGACAGGAAAGAGAGTAGAACTCGTGCCTTGTGGAAAACGCCCAGTAGGCGATATTGGCAGTTTCTTCCTCCACCTCTGCTCAAGGGACACACGTATTCCACTCTAGCACCCAAATCACTGTTCTTGCAGAGTACAAGACTGCACACTCTACCAGCGTGTGTGTTTTTATTATTCCTTAACTCTACCAGCAGCTTGTGTATAACCCCAGGCTGACGCTTATGTGGCTGTGCGGAAGTCTTTCAATTTTCTTTAGACTCCTTGTCTGAGTCCGATTAATCTTGTTCCACGTTCCGGAAGGAGATCAGATCGAAAACAACCTTGCTAGCAACCAACGCGCCCCCTCCTGATCTTGACCTTCCGCTTCCTCCCCAATCAGTCTCGATAAACAATGTACATCGACAACCACATGGACGGCAAACCCTAACGTTATTCCGCTGCCGCAAACCTGTAGAAAACCTCATAGCACCGTGGCAGCTGGTCCGGTGGATTCGTCAATGGCAAGCTCCGCATTTCCCGTGCTGGAACTCCTGGTGAACCTGTCTTGTGCCGACCCGCACGCGATCTACAACTGGTTGGCGAGCTGCTCTCCTGACGACGGGTCGCCCGGCGGGGCGCTCAAGGGCCTGAAGATAGAGCTTAACAGCGGGGTTGAGAAGGTCCGGTTTAGACGAGTGAACGAAGACGACGACGGTGGTCATATGAGGGTCGAGCTGAGTATTAGGGTTATTGTTGGTGGTGTTGGCGAGCCGCACTGTTGGAGTGCTCTAAGCGGGTGGTGCCCAACAGCCCATTGGGTTGCTCGACAAACAGCGCCGACGCAGACGATTCGCCTTGTTCCACAACGTTTTCTTCACTCTTGTCAGTCGCCAGTTTGTCCTCTCTCCGCGGTGTACCTCCATTACATTGGCTTTTTTTGCGTCAGTTTATTCCTCTTAATTTGTGCTTGTGTTTTCCGCGGCTCCAAGCCAATCAAGCTGTCGGAACCTTGTGGGGAACAGCCAGGGCTCTGACTGAGGTACTTCGAAGCCTTCCTTTCAATGCCGGAAAAACATGAAACGCGCGTACCTGCTTCGCTCCCGTGGAAAACTCTCAAGCGTTCAAAAGGTCGTGACCGATACGAGGCACGTCTTGGTGTTTTCCTTCGTGTTATGTCCAACGGCGATCGGTTTCTGGGTACTTCACTTGAGTTACTCCTTCTTGAGATATTCAAGAACTCAGACCGCTTGTAGAAGCTTGTACCGCGGCTTCGAACAAACACGACATTTGATGTTGCCACAGGTACGAATCTTGGCTGGCTTGGTCCTGGTCAGCTGCTTCAAAATCAGCAAGATGGGGCTTGGAACATCGTCGTTACCCCGTTCATCGTCACACCAGTCGACCGAATCCCTCGCCTTGGACGAGGTTATCGCTCACCGAGTTCTGCCCCTCTTTGTTCGGACGCTGAGCTCATGGTCCACCCTCCCATCGACAGTCAGTGGTCAGGGTAGTGGTGGTGGTGGTGGCAGTAGAGTGAGAGGGGCGGGCGGATTTCACCGTTCAACGTCGAAGACCACGAGCGGTTGGGCGGCGGCTAGCTTCGCGACAGTATGCGGCGGCTATGCAGCGGCCGTGACTGCTGCCTTGACCGCTACAACGGAGCTCGGGTCTTTGCGGCGGCAACGCGAGGCCGTTGCGTATGGCATCGTCGACTCCCTCGTGGTGTTCCTCAAGAGAGCACGCACGGAGGCAGTGGCGGCCGGGACCGAATCAGTGTGTTCACCGAGCGCCAGCACCAGCACCGCCACCGCTGATAACAATGCGCCATCCGGGGCTCCTTCTTCCGCTGCCGCTACTTCCGCCGCTGCTGCCGCTGCTGCCGCTGCTGTGGGGGAGTCGAGCCGCTCCATGGACTCCCGCCTCATCCGGACTGCTACCGAGACGGGATTGAAGGCACTGGCGGCGCTTTGCGCACGCTGCGAGCCCGCCCGCGAGAGGACTGTCGCGCTCGGGTTTCACTCCGCCGTCGGATACTGGTTAGCGACATCCCCACGGGAGAACGGCAACGGCAGCAACCTGCCCATGGACCCGTTCAGCAGTAGAAGCAGCCGATGTGACGGCGTCGGTGGTAGTCAGAGAAGCAGCGGCAGCAACAGCAGCAGTAGCAGCAGCGGCGGTAGTAGCGACGCCGCCGTACACCTGGCAGCTCTGTTGCTTGTGAGAAACCTTGGACGGTCTAGCGTCGCTTGCTCCGCGCTGGTCGGTGTCGGTGTTCACGAGCGCCTCCTCGGCTTGGTGACGCTAGGCGGTGGTTGCGCCGGCCACGACGAGAACACCGAAAGCACCGCTGCGGGAGGCAAAGGAGAAGCAGTGGCAAGTGGAGCTGAGGAGGACGATGCCGAGGAAGGCACCGGGACAACCAGCGGAGCCAAGGCTGGACTCCAAGCTACCTGGGCCGCCCAGCGAGAGGCGCTTGCCTCCGCCTGTCTTGCGAACATGGCACTGGAGCACGAGGCGGTGAAGGAGGCCGTCGTGGGATCGGAAGCGTGTCTTCGAGGGATCTGCAACTCTGCCCTCGACCTGTCAGTCGACCGGAAAAACGTAGGTCCTGGTGTTGTTTTTCTTCCTCTCTTCCTTACAGTAGTCGTTGCAGTTGCAATGGTGTGGTACTTACTTTCCTCAAGGCCGGGGGCAAAGCGACCATTGATGGCCGGCACGTGGTGTTGTGTATTGCACTCCAAGAGTTCATTACTAGCGCTGCACCATGTTTGTCGGTGGGGATGTACGAAGGTTCTGCAAGTGCTTCTTCACATTCACTCGGGACCGCAGCTTGTCCGGCCGCTGTCTGCGTCTGTGCCGCAGCGCCAGCATTTTCTCGTGTTTCGTCCCCCCACAACACCTCGCCCACTTCTCCTCCTTTCCCCACCGACCCCCACCCGCATGCATCCCCTCAGGCCCGTATGGCATCCATCGCGGTGCTCAAGAGTACGTGCTTCCTCGCGTCACTCCACGTGCGTGTTAAGGTTGCGTACTTCTTGGGGGGCGTGAACGGGATGCTGGGTCTCATACAGGGCCCTCGCGACGAAGCTGTTCTTCAGGTGTGAATACTCGTTCGATCGTTGTGTTGGCCTGTGTGTATGTTCGGAGCAGTCCTGGGCTGACAAGTCTTTGCAACGATGCGGGCACTTGGTACGCGGGTTGGCATTTAGACATAAACAGCGAGCGACCCGTGGTTTGCGCGGAGGCAATCAACCACCGAAAAGCGCGTCGCAAGAACACGTGATTTCCTTTCCTCGCCAGCTCTGGCGATGTTTACCGCAGCAACTTCAAGGGCCACTGGGAACACCCCTCAAAGTGAGCGACGGTACCCCCGATCCGACTGATTGGGCTACGCGGGAACGTCCGTCACGATGCCTCATCAACCAGAGTCCCCTTCACCCCCCTCCCTGCCGCCGAAAATGTCGTTCCGTCTCTCGGTAACAACGGTTCAATCTGTGCAACCCGCGGTGGGTATATCGTAGGGGCTGTACACGCTGCGAAATATCCTGAATGGCGTTCCCCTGTGGGCGCTATGCTGGGGCGAACTGGGAACGATCCCTACCCCTGACAACTTGGCAGGAGAAGGGCAACGAGACAGAGATGCCGGACTCACCGCCACTGCATCAACAGCAGCAGCAGGAGCAGGAGCAGCACCAGCAGCAACAACAACAGCGGCGTCTGCAGTAACAACAACAGCCGAGCAGCAACACGAGGGTGGGGGCGGTCCGGCTGGGATCGGCGGACCAGGAGGAGACCCAGCGCTCCCACCAGCAACACAAGGCAGCGACAGCAGCAGTCCCGACTGGAGGCGGCATTCAGCAACACCGGCAGACGACGGTGGAAGGCAGCAGAGGAGGAATTGGCAGGGGTGGCGGGGACACTGGGCCGGAGGCGGCGTAGGACATCGGGGCAACAACAACAACGCGGCCCGGAATTTCTGGGGGGAGCTGGACGCTTCTCCTGCTTCCTTTTCTTCTTTCCGTGGTAGGGGCGTTGGTGGTGGCAGAGACGGAAGGGGACGAGGGGGGGGGTGGGGGCGTGGTGGTGGCTTCGGCGGCAGGAGCGGTAGCCTCTTCGATAACGGCTGGCCTGACCCTATGGATGTAGCCAGCAAGAACACCAATGGAGCCGGCGGCGGCGGCGGCGGCGGCGGCGGCGGCGGCGACGGAGGGGTTCTGGTCACAACTGGACCGGGGCGGCGGCGGGAGGATACAACGGGGCTAGCTTTCTTGTGGTTGATGGAAGCGGTCTTGGGCACGCTGGGGCGTGGGGGAGATGGCGATCAAGACGGAGGCGACTGCGATGAAACGAGCTGCGCGGTGAGCTCTCAAGGCTTCGCGTTTGGTCGCTGGTGCTTCTCTGGTTGGTGGTCATTAACGTTTCCCAACACGGGATCCTCTTAAAAAATCTACCCCGCGATCTCGACCTAGGGCTTTACCGTGACAAAACAAGCACGGTATCCGGAGTGGTGTGGTCTACCAACAGCTCCTTCATTGGTGGTCAAATCTCTGCATTTTTTCTTAAGACGAACCGTGAGTTCTTGAGAGCACCCTCCCTCCTCGCCATGACAGAATCTATGACAGCTCTTGCCAAGTTCCTTTTCGTCTGACCGTTACGGATACGAACTACGTCTATAAGTGTACTGTAGTGGCGGACGGGTGCCTTTCGTAGCACCCGAGGTGGAAACGGAAAGAACACAGAAGGGCGGCACAACTCCTGCCGCACGCGTATGTAACGTACACGGGTACCGTGCGCAGCTGTATAATGCCACAGGTGATGTTGAACGACCAATGACGCTCCACTTTTCGCTTGCCGATTGACTTCGTAAACCGTCTTCAATGCCCAAACAGGAACAGCCACCAATGCCCCCGAGACCTTTTCGCTCCAACGCGATCTCTTCTGTTTTCGTGGATGACAATATGCCCAACATTAAGGAAATATTATCCATTTGAGAAAAACGCTTCCGACGGGGTGTGAAAGAATCTTTTGCAGTTTTTTCGACGCCCCTCTACCTTTGACATTGCCCTCCTCTTTTCGTGTGGATTGTTTTAGCGCCCCACAGGGCTATCTCAAAGGATGTGATGGCAATACACGGTAGTGCAGTCCCCTGCGACAGTCCCGCGCTCCAGGGTTGAAAGCAAAAGCCTTGTAACTAGGCAGGAATCCAGTTTCTCCCTCTTCCCCCCACCACCCCCCCACACACCTCGAAAATGACGCTGCTTCCCATGGTTCACGTCTGCCGCTGCCACCAAAACCAGACTCTCCGCTTGCTGCACGTCCTGTCCACCGCCGACGATTCGCAACGAGCCGCCCTGCGAACCCCGAGGGTGCTCCACGCCGCTCTACGTTTTTTAACGCCCACTAGCGCTACCTGCAGCAGCAGCACTACCAACGGCGACAATGCCGAGCAGCCCCCTGAATCGTCTTCGCCGGCTGATTCTCCCGTCGCCGGGAGTCTTCATAACCCAGAAACGACGACAGCAGCTACAACTGCGCCAGCGAGGGCAGCGGCGAACGTCACGGCGCGGCTTCTTCTGGCTGAGCTTCTGCCGCAGAGCTCCGGCGATAACGTAGACGGGAATATCAATGCTGCGTTTGCGGTGCTAGCCGCGTCGGGGGTTGCGGCGGGTGCCGGCGGGCGCGGCCTCTCTGGGTGGACTGGGGGGGCGGGAGGGCAACGGCGGGCAAGAGCCACGGCGGCCGGAGCCTGGTGCAGCGGGTTGGAGTTTGACCGAGCTGCGGCGTGACGTTTTCAAACCGAAGTACAAGTAGTATTTGTGACCGCGTGTGTGTCGATGTCGTGGTAGCTTGTCGGGTTGTGTAGGTAGGCACGAGTGGGGAAGACAGAGATAGGTGTCTTCCATGCATGTACGAAGGCCAAATCTAACAATTTCCCATTGCCGGTCTGGTCGCCTGTTTGCCGGCCTAGCGATCTTCCCGGCGTCATCCATTTGGCCATTGCTTTGACTCAATGTCCGTATTTGTGCGTGTTGGCAGACGAAGGGTTTCCACCTACATGCTGTACGAAGGTGTTGTTTGGGGTGGAGTCGGAAGCAAGCAGAGAATAGGAGTCAGCATCTACCATGCTGATCTTGCTTTTGTTTATTGACCGTGGCGCTGCTCCGGTCGCATGGTTGATGTCTGTTTCAGTTCAGGGGTAGTCCTGTCAACCTAGATAATGTAGTCACAGCCTACGGACAGTGTGGTGGCTCCTTTCGGAGAAAGAGCGGTACTGTTTCTCCGAAGGGATGCATGCGTGATCAATGGCAAGCAAAAGGCAAAGGCAAGCCCTACATGAGCACTCCGCGTCCACCTCCAATCCTTGGTACTCGCTTCGCACAGAAGTACCTGGCGGATGAGAAAAGCAATAGTAGAGATACCTTGGTGTATTTCCACGATTCTCCGCCTCTCTATTTAGGTGTCGTCTGCCCCCCCCCCTTCTCCGCGCCGAGCCCAAATTGTCCATCACTTGTTGGCGGGGTTGCTGGCGAAGAGGAGCGCGGCCGCTCCCGCGCCACGTTGAGACTTCACATGCGCACGACATCAACAACATGCTATCGCCAGCTCGCCATGATTGGCGCCTGTTTCGTGTCATTGGTGCGGCTTTCAAGCGCCTGACGGCTCTGAGCTACATGAACTGTAGTCCAGCGGTACCCACTTCCATACCTGTCCCTATTTCTTGCGAATCTGCACCCACGGTGTACTTTCAAGATTGAAGGAAATGGCGTTCAATGATACCAGCCTCTACCATATGTATCTTCTCCGCGGTCATGCCCCGTCTATGGTCATTTCGTTCCTCTGTCACGTCCGACCCAGCATCTACTCTCCAGATGGAAGCAATATCCGGTCCTTGCGCTCCCCCTTGCCCCTGTTCTTGCTCTTGCCCCTGTCTTGCTCTTGCCAATGCCATCACCACCGCCCCTGCATTCTGCGGGCCACCTCCCCTCCACTCCCCGCAACAGCACCAGCACCTCCCGCTTGACGAGTCCGGTGGACCGCCGCCCGCCTCCCCCGGACCGCCCTTGCGCTTTCCCTCGGAACCTTGGAGATTCACCGCCTTGAAGTGTTGAAGTTTGACTTCACACTTTTCTTCCCTGCGGCACGCTGTGCCATCTTGCCTCCTCCTCCTCCAGTACTCATTCGTCCCTGAAGACAAGCTTGTGCATGAACTCGTCGTCATTGCAAGCTAAGGTGATGGCGTTGAAGCGATCGCGATCAAAATCGTGTCTTCCATAATGTGTAGCCGGTCGTGCCCACCTCCATCCTCTTGTACCCCATTCGCAAGCCACCTCCGTACCGCAGCCACGTTGACTTCGATGGCATCTCGGTCCTTGTTCGTACTCGGGGATTGTTTCCCCCCCCCCCCCCCCCGTGTGTTCTCGCCGGATTCAGCGATGATTGCGGGGACGGAATCCAGACAGATCCGTCCCTCGCATTCACGGTAGTATAGACCTTGTTTTTCGCCGCTATCTACTGCTCCGT